GGAGCCCTGAGGAAGCATCATTAGCGCTGCTCCATGCAGGATTCTGGGCTGTTATAATGTTAATGTTTTATTCAATAATGTAATATTTATTTGATGCTATAAATGTCCAAGAAAGACAAAATCGTATAAGTGCAGACTGGAGGACATGTTCATAGTTTTTAAAATGAATAAAAGGTATGGAAAGCTTCTCCGTTTAGAATAAAATCCGGCGTTATTCGGACCATTCAGATTTCCCTCGTCTCCATAGATCCTTCTGAACGAGTTGGGCTTCGATGACGGCTTCATCACTCCGCTGCGGGAGCTCTACCTGCAGCCGCTCGCCTCCCTGCTCTACCCGGACTGCGGGGGGCGCTGTCTGGACAGCCACAAGGCTTTTGTCGTCAAGTATGCCTTGAAGGAAGACCTGGATTTGAGCTATCACTATGACAACGCAGAGGTGACTCTGAACGTGTCTCTGGGCAAAGAGTTCAGCGACGGAAACCTTTTCTTTGGGGACATGCGGCAGGTGAGGCTGCAGCTTTAAACCGGCGTTTCTCTGAGATTTCTCTGAACCTCGCTGGTGCTGTTGCTCTGCAGGTTCCTCTGAGTGAGACTGAGTGCACAGAGGTGGAGCACAGGGTCACAGAGGGGCTCCTGCACCGGGGCCAACACATGCACGGGGCCCTGCCCATCTCCCGCGGCCAGCGGTGGAACCTCATCGTCTGGATGAGGGCGTCGCAGGAACGCAACAAACTGTGCCCCATGTGCAACCGCAGGCCCTCGCTGGTGGAGGGGGGCGGCTTCGCCGAGGGCTTCACCAAGGCTTAGAGGACGGCTTCTGTGTTTTCATGACCTTTCTATGAACACGGATCATTTCTGTCCTTGTTTTGTTGGAAACAATCAACTGACTTCAGACGCTTTTCTGATGGAGTTACTAGAAGAAAAACTGTCTGATTTTAATTGTGGCGTCCACCAGGGGTCAGTGTTGGAACCGATTCCTTTTATTCTTTACATAAAAGACAATCTTAAAGTTTTTTTACTTTGTTTGGTTTGCAGGTGATGCAGATATTTTTGTAAAGGTGGGAGTGGATCAATAAACTGAAGAACAAAAACATGTCTCCTTAATCTGATGAAACCTAAAAACGATGATGAAAATATTTATCAGAAAGAAAAATTAGAAATATGGATCCATTAAAAGAAATACAGTTTTTAATGACTCACATTAAATATGTTCAAACTAAACTATCAAGAGGAAATCTATGGGATGTAAGTTCAGCAGTAAAAATTAGAAATTAGGATCATTTATGGTTATTTAACGGGTTGAGAGGGAAAAACAAGTTTTTTTTTTACCGTATGTCATTCAATTATTTATAAAAATCCAAGTTCCAAACTAAATATTTAGATTGTCAGTTAAAAGATTTGACAGCAAGCTTTATATTTTCCAAACTAAATGCTTAGTTGGTTAACCCTTTATAAGGCAAGTTACCGTTTTTGATCACTTGCATACCCCTTAGAAATGGAGCCCCCCCCCACTTTTGTTATTTTTCTTAATATTTTCGGGCAAGTTGGCATTTCTTGTTACATTGACATTCATTTTCGCCATCAAAATATCCATATTTTTTTAATGTTACAAAGGTAATAAGGTCTAAAAAGGTAATGATCTAAAAATGAGTGAAAATGTCTTAAAATAAGTGTATTTATCCTTAATTTGAGTAGGTAAATAAGAAAATCTTCCAGTGGAAGGAACATTTTTTTATCCATAAAATCAGATTATTTGATATTATTCACTTGAAATAGGAGACTGCATTTTTTCCTTGTTTTAAATGTGAATTTTCTTATTCCATTAGCAAAGTGTCTCACGTACTCAATTCAAGGAAAATGCACTTATTTTAAGATAAAATGACATACTTAGATTTCAAGTTTTTGCAGTCTTTGCTTGAAAGTTTTATATTTAAAGTCTTTCACTGAGTGCCCTATAAAGGGTTAAATAAATATTTAGCTTTAACTAAATATTTGATTTTCACCAAGCTAAATATTTAGTTTGGAAAATAGATATTTAGCTTGGTGCTAAATATTCAACAAGCTAAATATTTAATAGGCAAAAAAAAAAAAAAACTTAATTGATAAACTAAATTTCAAACTTTGATTTTTTATAAATTAGTGAAAAAATTGCTTGGAAAAATAACCTTATTTTTCTCACCAAACAGTAACAATAATTATTGCTTTTAATTTTCGACTATTTAACTTTACAAACACCCTGCAAAAAATCCCCAGTAAAGCAAGAGGCTTTCTGGATTCTAACATTTAGTCTAAATGTCTGTTTTTGTTGGAATATTCTCCAATGATGAAGCAGTTACGTCTGTGATGTTTTCCAGTTGTAGAAGGAAAGAAACTGTGAGTCCAGAATAAAGAAGGTTTAATTGTTTGGTTTCTGTCTACAGCACATCTGGTGTCCCGTTTAAAGTCAGCCATATAAAAACACAAAGAGCTGCTGGTTACAGCTGCAGGCAGGAGGCAGGCCTACAAACACACATCAGGGCCTTTTGGTTGTTTCTTTTTTTCTTGCTAAATGTGCCGATTTGGAAGTTATGAAGGGAAAACGGGGAAAAAGCTCTGGGATCGGATCAACCCGGATATTTACACGCTAACGGAGCTACAGTATATACAGGAGGATTTACAGCTACTGCTCATCTCTGTGCATCCGTCTGGCATCATTATGCATTTTATTCAGAACTAGCCACAGTAAAATGGCAGCATAATAATTACATAAAGTCACAGTATTTCCCAAACATATTTCCTCTCTGCAGGATCCTTTATATCATACAAGTAAATAAATAAATGTTTTCATCCTCGGTGTCCTGTTTGCTGGACAACAGGCCATCAAACAGGGATGTCCGTATCCATCCTGCTGCCAACTTCCAGCTCTGCACCGGTGGCTTTCAGGGGATCATAACGTGGTCTCACTGCTAATGTCCCGGCCCCGGTGGAGGTCCGTGTCCGAGTCGTAGTCCGACTCCATCTCGATCTTGACCTGGGGTACGGGGCAGGCCATCCCTCGGCCCATAGGCATGGCCGGCGACGACGGGCAGGAGATCTTCAAGTGGAGGGTGATGCTGAGGAAGGGCAAGCTCTGGTTACCACACACACAACACCAAGGAAGGAGGGAGGGGGGCAGGAGAGGCCCTAACAGCTCCGAGGGAGGAGGGGGGGGGTCACACAGTTTAGTCTTTACTGTTCTCCTAAAAAATTTAACTGAACAGTCAACTTTAAGAAGTCCCAGAAAGTACCCCTATCTACT